GAGCCCTATATGTATACATATGTATGTGTATATATACAGACACGCTATATATATACATGTGTGTGTGTGTGTGTGTATATACATACACACATGTGTGTATATGTGTGTGTGTGTGTATGTGTGTGTGTGGTGCCTGTCTGTAGCAGGCAAAAGAACTTTTCCTACAAAAGACTAAAGTATTTTCCATGGAAAACTAGTTTTGCTCAGAACTATCTGCTATAGCCCAGTTCATGATATGGAAGGATCGCTCTGGCAAGGCTTGAGAGGTACAATAAATTCATTCCTGAAAGGAGGTTACTTTACTCAGTCAATTAAAATCAGTGTGCACCCCTTATCCATTATAATGTTGGAAAGTGAATCGACTTGAATTAACTGTTCTAAAAAGAGAGTGGAGTGGAAATCAGAGATTTTGTTTGGTAGGAAATTAGCAGCTGAGAGATGAAGGTGCCAGGATTTTTATTTAAATGTGGTACAACACGATCCTGTCAGTAAAGCACATCATTAGAATATTGAGACGAGAACCGCTAATTTCTGCTTTAAAATGAGCATACAGTCATGTGCCTCCTGGACTGTCATAAATTGTCATTGTTATTATCTTTGAGTTTGAGGTCCCCTCCTCTTTTTTTTTCTCGTGATAGTTTGGCTTTCATTCTGTATTCTCATTTTTTTAAACCTCTTATGTTTCTTTAATAAATCCCTAACCAAAAACAGTCAGAAGCTCCTTATTTATTTTTTATACATCTTGGGTTTAGCATCTTTTTCACCGTTTTCTTGCTTACTGTAGCAAGACATTTGCAGATGGTACTTGGTTACTATAAAGTGCATAACAGTATTTCCTTTGTGGCAGATGGATTTAAGACTTTTAGTTCTCAATAAATGTAGGTTTACAATACATAACTTTACAGGATTTGTGTTGTATATAACAGGTTTGAACATATTATCTCAGAATTCATCTGCATGGCATTTTCAGCTTAACTAGGGTTTGTGCCAGTTGTTGGGTTTGTGAGGTTTTTTTTTTTCCCTTTTTTTTTAAGTAATAAGGGAAGCATTGTGATTGATAGCAGCTAAAGGCGTGATTTTGAATAGAAACAAAGGGTTTGGAACAGAAGGTGTCAAATTAAACTTTGTCAGTTTGAAAAGTAGTAACATCCTGAAAGTTTTACTAATTTATTTACATGTGGCTACTGTTTATATTTTGCCCTCTTTATATTCAGTGTAATGTTGCTTGGCAAATTTACTATGTTTAAAGTTTAGGTTGTTCCTTGTACCATTTTAGTTTCCTGAGAATGGATTGGCCTAATTATTTTAAGACTGTTACTTCCCCGTTTTGGGTTTTTTTTTTTTTTATTTCTACAGATTGTGTAGAACAGTTGTGATCTATTTTAGCTCGTGGTTTCTCATCCCCACTTTCTGATCATGTAATGTTTTAACAACCATAGACCTCTCTGGAAACATAGTCATATTTGTATTTTGCAAGAAAAAACTATGGTATATTTCTACTTGTCTGTTCCCCCCCTCCCAAGCATGCCTATACCTTCCTTTAAAAGAAAAAGAAAAAGAAAAATATCAACACACTACTTGACAGAACACAATTGTGTTTGTCAAATATTGCACAATAACATTTCAACTTTACCACAGAATAGTCTTTAGATTGGTTTGTCCAGTAAGAGTACTCACATGTTACACAGTGCTGACCCGGCACCTGGTGATAAAGACTTGGTTTTACAAGAGATCCAAGTATCTTAACTTCAGTCCCTTCTACTAATATTCTGTCATCATTAATACAATCTCACTTAATATGCAATTAAAACAGAATATTCAAAGTTAGTTGTATGATTGTATTAAAATACCCCAAACCTGATTTTCACCATCACAAACTGGAAATGAGCCAATTACTTCCACATTGCCACAGAACTGGCATATCAAAATGTCTGTTACTGGCATATCAAAATGTCTGTTTTTCATTATGGTTTTAAGTGAATGCACTTTAAGAAAATCGCCCTTTTTTTTGTTGTTGTTGTTGTTAGAATATCCTTGCAAAACTAACAGTTCCCAGCTGCAGCTTTAAATATTTTCTAAGAAGCATCTGATTTCAGTCTCTTAAAATCATCCTATCGCCTTGAAAGGCTAACAGAGACATGCTTCAACTTATAATTCATCAAATTATTTTTAGATAAGGAATTAGAAGTATTATTTCAGGGCAGAGGTTAATAGCAAACTACTGGAAATGTTATGTTAGTCATGGGCAATTAATAAAAATAAGGATCCATCTCATAAGCATAGAAGCACAGAAGTGACAATATAAGCAAAATATTTGTTGAATGAGTCAAGGCTCTTTTTCTGAAATATTTGTTAAACCAGCATGAACGTGATTGTTTAGGAATTAGCTATCATTATTAGCCATTCTAAGAGAACTAATGATTTTCTTTTCCAAAGAACATCTGTGATCCACATGTTTTCACATATATCCAAGTGCTAACCGATCTCTATACAACTTTAAGGAAAGTTTCAAAAGGATTTTCAGGTTCTTTGATGTTTCTCCACGCTCAGAGCAATCTTTTAACATCTATGTGATCTCTTGTCCATTTTAAGTTACATATTTGAGAAATAACCCATTGTCCTACAAGGAAATTTCTGGAATGCTTATTGCTCCTCTTTTTGTGGGGTATAGACTGGCTGAAATTAGTAAGTGTGCCATTTTGTGCTATAATTTCAGTGGCTTCTGAATGCTATATGCTAGTATGATCATTTACATTAGACAGGATAGTATCAGCAACCTAGAGATATCACGGTTGAGAGGCATGGCCGAGAAAAGGGTCTGTGATTCCAGCCCCAATTAGGTGAAGAATGATAATACAACACCATCCAGAATGTACCAGCGCAGGCGAGTAAGAATCCAGATCCCACCTGGCATTACCTAAAAGCCAGTATTCACTTAAACAGGTCCCTTAGATAGAGATATAATTAAAAAATGTCCTGTTACCATCTTTGCCTTAATTCCAAAAGAACAGTTTACCAGTAGGGTTTAAGGAATAACTCCTCAAATTTACATCGCGCTTAAAGTTGTACAAGGCATTTTCTTTACAACAATTCTGGAATGTTTTATAGTGCAACGATTGTTAATCCCCTGATAAAGAAACACAGCCAAAGGCTCGAAGCAGTTAACGACTTACTAGGCAAATATTCTCCACAGCCATAATTGCATGTGGATGGTCTGTAAACATTTTGATGAAGATAATGATTGGTCTCCTAGTTTCCTATATTCATTGAAAAGTGTAGTTGAGGAAAGTTCTTTCGAAACTTTGCAATGAGATCGCCATAGCTAACTAAAAAATTATTCATTTGAGTTAGAAAACATGCCTGTTTTGTTTTGTTTTGTTTTGTTTTCCATCTGCCCTTTCTTCTTATGGTTGAATTTTCTTACACAACAAGCTCTGAATTAAATCTATGGGGTAGAGTCAGGATCATACTTAGATGATCAAGCTTGAGCTCTGGTCTAACTAAAAGGAAGAGAAGTAGAACAACAGTTCTCAAAAAGACCCTATTAAACTAGCAATGGATCTGTTGAGTGATGACAGCATTGGCCTGCTTTAGCCACTTTGTGTAGCTCAGCTATCCAAAAGACAGCTAATTCCTCTAATCATTTCCACTGAATTTTCACCATAGGCCTAGGAATTTTGTAGTTATTGCCTAGTAAATGAAACTACCAGTACTTCCGGGCTAAAAACATGAAGATGGAAACCTTTCTACCAAACCATATTCTTTCCCCTAAATAAATAAGCATATAATTTTATTGGAAATAGAATCATTTATATGTCTGCTAGTGTCCATTTGGAAGGGATTCCCTCTCTACTGGTACATTTTGAAAAGAAGAGAAAAGGGAGGTGAAGAAACAAAGTCCATCACCACCCTTAACTTTCCAGGCCTGATCCTGGCTAACCTAAAATCATCAAAGAAAAAACCAGCTTTCTGCCCTTTCCTGCTCTTGACTGACTAATATCCTTGCCTTTACTGCCCTTATCTACAAAATGAATCAGTGTCTCCTTCTAGCTGTAACATGAGTCTGTCTGTATTGCAGAATTCCCATAGTACCTCTTTCCCATAGAGCCCTTTTACCTAGTTTGGCAAAGTAACTAGAGAGTAACCCTGGGGGGCAGGGGTGGGGTGGCAGGAAGGTTTGAGTGTTTCTAGATAGGTGTGCTATCCCTTAACCTTTTGGTTTTTCAAAGCAATTGTAACTCAGGCCTTTATGGCTGGATCTAACTAAAACTCACCAGAGATTCTGCTGAGGGCGCATTCTGTCTTTCATCCTTTTTTTCTTCCTTCTAGTCTTTAGGAAAACAATGAACCCTTTGGCCTTCCAACCACCTTTGTACATTGATATTAAGGAATAAAATCCACCCTTTAGGTATCTTATTGAGGGATCCTTTTCTTTTAAAAGAATCTTAAAGAAAGTCTCCATTGCTATGATTTATGTTGGACAGCTCTTTGGTAAAAACCCAAGTTCTAAAGTTCTTCTTGTTCAGAATAGGAAAAATAATTAAATAATAGCAGGGAGCCCCTTTTTTAGGAGAAAAACAATTCCCTAAAGGGAAAATCATTACCTGTATTAAATCTCCTCAACTGGAAACAAATCGGCATTTACAACAGGAAAGAGAAATATGCAAGTTTGATAGACTTCTATCCATATATTCTGGAACTTTGGATAAATGCTTTCATGCTTTGGAGCCTTGAAAATGTATTTTTAATCCTTGAAATAGAAAACTGGGGCTGCCAGTACAAACATTTGTGACAAACCACTGTCGCATAGGTAGATTTTGGATACAAATTAAAAGTTTCTCAATGGTCTCACAATTACTAGTAGATCATAGATCAGAAGAGTGTTTTAAAATGATGAAAATGGTTAATTTTGTTATTGATTTTTCTTCAATACAAAAGGGAGATTGTTTTGTCAACCATCCATTACTGTAAGCTGACCATGTGGTGCATTTACCTTTCAGGGGTGGTTGTGTGAACTGTTACGCTGGAAAGAAGACCCATCTCCAGAAAACAGGACCCTGTGGGAGAATCTTTCCATGATCAGAAGGTTCCTCAGTCTTCCTCAGCCCGAACGAGATGCCATTTATGAACAAGAAAGCAACGCTGTTCATCACCATGGTGACAGACCTTCCCACATTATCCATGTTCCAGCAGAACAGATTCAGGTTAGTTTACCTTGGCCAATCCAATATAGCACTACGTAAATAAAGCTTGAAACTTAGCAAAGGAAATGAGTGTTTCTTTTCTTGCTGCCAGACTAAACAGGCTTCTGAGCAAGATACAACAATACACTGTCATCTTCTTTGGAAGATAAAAAGAGAATCATTGTGTCCTTTCCTTATTGTGTGCATTTCCTCCGAGTGTGACAGCTCTCCCTTGACACTTGTAGCTTGGAAAGAGTCTTTCTTAATGGGAAGTTATTTATTTATTTGTTTTTGGTATATGTGGATTTTTTAAAATTGTTGGCGGGTTGGTTGGCTCTTGTACCTTTGTTTTTAAATCAGAATTTAAAATCCAAGCCCAGCTCTGATTGACAGTGTTAGAGCTTCCAAGTAAAGGAATGAATGCTGGTGTGGAGAAAGTTTCTTACTTAGCCTCTCTGTATCTTGGATTCAGTGCAAGAATAAAATAGTAATCCAACCACATCTTCTCTCCCATTCACTCTGTTAATATCCTCTCACTTGTCCCTCCCTTAGAAATCCCAAATCAGGGGTGAGTCAATGTATGTTTGTTTTTCCTTCAGAGCCCCTCTCCCACCACCCTTGTGAAAGGAGAGCCTAGAGGTACTTTCTCACCAAGCCTGCTGACCCCTGGACCATGGCTGGGTGCTGCTCCACAGGTGAGCTGGCACAAGTTAAACATGTCAGGGAGAGAAAGGGGGGTTTCAAGGACCCACTCCCTCCATCAAAGAGAAATAATTTATCATTTACTTGGGGGGGAACCCCCACTACACAATGGCAGCAACGCTAAAAGAAGGTTTTGCCACAGAATTCAACCTGTGCTTAGGACGAATAAGACTTTCTTCCTTTCCCCACTCCTACACAAAAGGTCCAGGTTCTGGGTTCCCAGTGTCAAACTCTGTATTCCTATAGTTCATCAGGTCCGGTACCCTTTTGCTTCTGCTGCTGTCAAGGGTGAACTTAATGCTACATCATTCATTGCTGTTTGAGAAATCTACAGGGATCTTTTCAGTTTCCTCTTTGAAAGACAAAATAGTTGGCTGGCAGAACTCAGCTATCTTTGTGAATTACTTATATTATCTCCATAGGAGAAAATACATATATATTTACAAAGCTAAAAAGAATGGAGCTTTCCAGCCACTAGGAAAAAAGCCATGAGTGTGTATTAAAGATAAAACACACTGAAAAAGGCAATCCCTTAGGATATCAAGCACTAAAATAATTGTGAAAGCCTGAAAAATTTACTGTTTGATTTAGCAAAAATAAAAAAGAGAAAGATATATGTTAAGTAATAAAACAGTACTTGTTTGAAAATGTAAATTGTTTTTAATAAAATTGCTTCTTAGGGGGATAAAAGGAAATGCTTATGCACAGTATAAACATTCTAATATTTTGCTGCTTACTCAGGTTGATTTGCCTTGCTGGATAAAAAAAAAAGTATCTACAGCATACAATATGTGAATGTGTCACATTTATTATAAGTAATTATTTATAGCAAATTACAGCACATATAGATACTAATTATTAACAAGCATGCCTACACTAAATTTGAAACTTCATAATAGGAGTTTGGCCTAGGAGAAAAAGTCTTTCCACACCAGAATCAACTAGAGTGAAATTTTACAGCTCAGTCATGATGAAGATGTCCATTGATACATCCTCTTGCCCTTTGTCATGGAGCTTTGCTACTTTTTTTGTTATCACTTAAGGAAAAAGTCATAAATCAGAGACTTTCATTGGTTCTTTTGGACTAAAAAGGGATAGTAACTCGAAACAGATCTTGATGAATTGACTTAGATTTTAAACATGATCTTCGAACAAAGTGACATTTTCCAGCCCCTGGTTGAGAATAACAAACACACACACACACCATAGTTCTTTCCTTTGGGTCCTATAGCTCACCTTTTGAAAACATCTTTGGTTCCAGTTGTTTCTAAATCCTCATTTTAAATATCTTCATTAATTACGTCATAATATACTTGGTTAACTTCCTCTTTGTTTTGTATCTTCCAAATTAAGTTTATTGCTTACTTTTTCCAGAATGCTAACTGGTGACCTTTCAGAGCAGAGGCCCAAAATCAAGGATTTAAAGGTTCCACTGATCCCTGATAATCCACCATATTAGTACTCTTCCTTTCTAGGTCATATTATTTTGAGGTTTGTTTTTTTTTTTTTAATGTTTTGAGCCATTTAGCTGTCTTATGCTTTTTATTCCAACTCTTTGTTCCTTTAAGGAGCCATTTGTGGGAATGGTGACTACTTTTTTTTTTATTCTAGTAAGCTTTATAGATTAATATAAAAATAGAACTTAATTTTTTTCTTGTCTTTATAGCAGCAGCAGCAGCAGCAGCAGCAGCAGCAGCAGCAGCAGCCCCAAGCCCAGCAACAACAGCCTGGGCCCCGACTTCCCCCCAGGCAGCCTACCGTCGCTTCACCAGCCGAATCAGAGGATGAAAATCGGCAGAAGACACGACCGAGAACAAAAATTTCTGTTGAAGCTCTGGGAATTCTGCAGAGCTTTATACAAGATGTAGGCCTGTATCCAGATGAAGAAGCAATCCAGACTCTCTCTGCCCAGCTTGACCTTCCCAAGTATACTATTATTAAGTTCTTTCAGAACCAGCGATATTATCTCAAGCATCATGGGAAACTGAAGGACAATTCGGGTTTAGAGGTGGATGTTGCAGAGTATAAAGAAGAAGAGTTGCTGAAAGATTTGGAAGAAAGTGTCCAAGATAAAAATGCAAACTCCCTTTTTTCAGTGAAACTAGAAGAAGAATTATCAGTGGAAGGGAACACGGACATTAATGCTGATCTGAAAGACTAAGATAAAAGTATTATTTTCATTCAACAGTGCCACTGGTATTAACTAATTAAATGAAAATTCCATCTTGCATTCTCTCAGAAACCTTTGTTGTTCATTGTTTGGCCAATGAGTCTTCAGAAACTTGCACACACGCACGTGCTCGTGCACGCGCGCGCGCGCGCGCACACACACACACACACACAAACATGAAATGAAAAAAAAATGGATAATGCAGACCGCTAAATGTTTTACTCTGTTTTACAAATTGCTCTACAGCTACAGATGAAGCATTGAGGATTGTTTGATATTAATTTGTGTTCACTGGCTACACCCTGTTGTATCCAATAAGCATGATACCAGTGATTTTTGATCCTGAAGCTTTCAAAGAAGCATTACAACTTCGGTGATTATTGTTTCATTTTTATTATTATTATTATTATTAATTATTGTTATTATTATTACTGTAACACTCCACACTTGGTCTTTGGAAACTCACACTTATTTTAAAGAAAAAGAGAGTTTGTTGCTCCTGCTCTATTGTATGTTACAAAAGAACTATATACTGTGGAATGCAGTTTTAAAATAACACACGCCAACAAATGCCTTGTATTATATGGCACTGCCGTAATTCAGATTTGTTTTCTTTTTTGGAAATAAAAGGTCACTGTAATATTTTTTTTTTCCTTTTCATTGTTACATGATTTTTAAAAATGGAAAGAAAATGTGAAACACAATTTAGTCCTCATTATTTATTTGTAGATCCTGCAGCATCATGTTGTAATTAATTTTTTTTGGAAGTTTCCGTTAAATGTAATATTGCTTCCTTGTTCTCATACTGATTCTTTTCTATTTATAAATGTATTTTGATGGGCAGTAAAACAAAGTGTCTTAAAAGTTTTAAATAGAGAAAATGTGCTTTACACAGTTGCCTATAAAAAGTGCTCGATGTTATCCAAGCAATTCATTCTATAAGCTTCACTCTTATTGTTGTATGCAATTTTTACTATCATGCAAATAAGCTTAGGTAAATAAAACTAATAGATCACCTTAGAAACTTATGCAATTAATGTGAAAATAATTGATGTTTGCAATGTGTCTTCCTTTGGTTTACAATCAATTTCAAAGCGACATCTGTATAAATTTTCTGTACAAAGGTGTATTTCTTTTTTATGAGTTTATTGCTATGAAAACACCAGTTATTTTGTTACAGCTAGCTGTTTTTATAAGTGTATCACAATTTTCTTTATGCAGAACTGTTCTGACTAGGAGTGGTTATTGACTGTAACTACACAATTAAAATTGTTTGTATGGTATGCTATGGGAGGGTTTGTCTGCTTATGTGTACTCACTGTAAAGGAACTTGAAGGAATGCTCATGCTCTCTCTCGCTCTCTCTCTCTCTGTCTCTCTCTCTCCCTCTCTCTCTCTCTCTCTCTCTCTCTCTCTCTCTCTCTCTCTCAGTGGCTAATGGTACTTTCCCAGCAGTACCTTGTTATTTTGAGAAAGACCATCTGAAAAGTTCTCTCTCAAGACTTGTATTAGCCTTTGTAAAATTTACATGTTGATGGCATGTGTGTACGTGTGTGTAACACACACACACGTACATTGAAGTTCCACGATGAAAATCATAACCTGCCTTGTCTTGGTTAACATTTTGCCTGCTAAACCGAGATAGCAGGATATTCTGGAGTCCAAAAGCTATCAGGCACAAACATATTTACAATCCCTGGCAGCGATGCTGTTATAATGGGTACAGCTGCTTTTATTTTGTGCTATGTGAATTATGCTCACACTGTTCCTTATACTAATGTATAAACACTTTAAAAGGCTATTAATAGTCACGTAAAATAAATAGAAAAAAATGGCTCTTTAAGAAAATTCCTTAGTAAGCAAGATTTTGAAGAATAGTTATTAGCTGTTAGTAATTCCAGTAACTTGACTTTTGAGTTCATCAGACTGCCTATATTCCTCTAGATCTAGAAACTACCTTAGGAATATGAGAACACAGAACCCGAAGCCTAAAGGCTATGTATGTTACGTAGTGACTTCATTTTCTCCTAACATTGGTTTTATATTGAGTTACCGAATTCTAGAGAGACTAAATCTTAGCAAACTACACAGTAGCAAAATTAAATGTGCTAATTGTCAGAGAATGAAGTGAGGATATAGTTATAAAATCTTTCATTCATATTTAAATTTTAAAAATTCTTCTAACTTCTGTTCTTAATATTTCCCCATAGGTTTTCTGAACACATCTAGCCGGGGCTATGAGGTTCCTTGGGAAGGGATCCATGACTGCCCATTTCCTTTCAGTTCTACCATTTGCCCTACCCCAGATGAGATCTTGTAGGCAACTGGGCTCCTTCAACGTTGAACTTTTACTTAAGAAACTGAATTGGGAGCATTGAAAATTCCCAATTCAGCTTTAAAATACTTTTTAATATTGAAGTACAGCTAAGCTACTCTAGAGGCAGCTGGTTTCCCATAAACTTCGAACTCTACCCCAAAAGTTTCCAGTTCCTTTAATTTATTAAGAGTTCAACTTTTCATGCATCTCCGCTAACTATGAAACAAGAAGGGAATCGTTTGTTGGAGGAGTTGAAATTAGTGAGAATAAAAACATTAGCTATATAACTATCTTCTTCATGTACTTACTTAGAAAGCATAGAATATATAAGTATAGGGTTTTTTTTTCCCTAAACTTCCTTTTTCTCACTTCCTCTGGTTAGGGGCTGGTGGTAGAGAAGGAAATTGAAATATTTTGGTAGTTGTATTGTTTTTCTTTTTCTTTTTTTTTAAATTGAAGACAAGGTACCAAGAGACACACCAAAACACTTAATTTTTGTCCTGAAGCCCAGGCTTCCAGGTAAGGTTTTTCTTTCTCATTCCAAAAGGCTTCCCATTTTCTTTTGGATTGAAAACAGAGTGGATTGGTTCACTTGTATTGTAAATACTCACCAACAATAACAGATGACATTCATAAGAAATACCATTTGATCCCTTTAAATGAAAGTGGTTATATTAAATAATTTGCCAAGAAGAAATGATGCTAGTATACTGAGTGGCCATGGTGAGGCAATGAGCTTAAGATGCTGCTTTAGAGAAAGTTCAAACTTGGATGGTGCATTGATCCATTCAGTCCTCCCTCAGTATCCTGTAGGCATCATGATTGGCCTGGTCAAGGCAGCGTGCTATAGCAGAGCATTTATCCGGAGTTCCAAGGACCTGGGTCTGAAGCCCAGCCTTACTACTACTAATGACTGGGTAAGTCTTTCACATCTGTAGATCTCAATTTCCTCATCTGTAAAATGAGAGCCTTAGACCAGCTGGTCTCTAGCACTAAATCCTATGATTTTTTTATGTGCCAAAAGGTTTATGTGCTAAAACTCCATTTAACAAGGTTCATTATGTGAAAATTATCTCAGAGACCTTTTAAAGGTACACATGCCATAGCATGCCATAGTCAAGTATGTTAGCAGAGTCGGGGAGTTCATAGACGATATTCAACCCCATGAATCTGAATCTGTCATGGACTCCTTCACTCAGCATTCTCTCACTAATATGTAGGATGCTCAGTGGCCATATATACCTGTATACTGTGCAAAAACAATATTGTAGACAGTGTCTCCTTGGCCCATAGTATGCAGAGTTGACACATACCTTCCTAGAAGACAAGGTAACTCTTTTGAGTGTCCTAATTACATGATACTTAGTTTCAAAGTTATGTGCATAATATGTGCATTGATTAACATCCTAGGATTTTGATGCCCTATCTTAACAAAAAAGTATTTTTCAAATAGACATGACAATGCCCAGCCAAGTACATGTGTTGAAACTAAAATATTTTCAAGTATCTTAAGGTTGAATCATATACACTTGTAGGTATCCAATCACCATCCAGTTCTACCCCACTTTCTGTTGCTAACATCCATTTAATGCCAAGGTCGTTATGTATTGTACAATCCTATTCTTACTAAGTGGAGTGGACTAAACTGCCTCCTGATATTATGAGAAAGCAATTTATAAATGTGCATCATTAGATGATGGAAATGGAGTCCTATGTATATGCTGATAGGCCCTCAAAAAAAATGTGTTGAATGAATATACCATGGAAGAATTAAACCAAATTCTTACATGTTAGGATGCTATCATCACCTTTCTCCTATAGATCAGGAAACTAAAAGGCATTAAAACTTCAGTGGTCTGCTCTGATCTATCTCCTCGATCCTTCTTACCTTGGTTAAGCAATTCAAGAATCTGAGTTGTAAGGGATGTTCTGGTTCACTCCATGATGCCTCAGCCACTGCTTAAACCCAGCATCTTCCGAGGCAAGCCATTCCACTTGTAGATAGCTCTGTTGGTTAGGAAGATTTTCCTTATGTCAAGCCTAAGGAATAAGACAAATCAAATGATAATTTTGCCAACTTAAGGATGCACATGATTTTCTTAGTATCTCTTCTGAAGCAATTAAGTCTATATCATTTTAGTGCAAAAGCTAAGTACTTGCATGATTTTCCACAGTAGCTAAAGGAGAAGGCATTAACATACATTTTACTAATGAAAATATATACAATATGCTCATTAATGGAGTGTGGTCAAAGGTATATATATATATATATATATCAACATACTGTACCTGTATTATAATTAATTCCACATGTTGAATAAAAACAGTGCAGAATTACCTTTTTAAGATATACATTTTCAATTCTTTCTTGCTCCAGATTCTATGCATATGTTCCATATATGATAATTCAATGTTTAATTTTGACGTGAGAAACTCTCCAAGTTCAGTCACGGTTTCCTGACTTGCTATTATTAGTGTAATATCCCTTCTCACTAACAGTGGCTGAGAAGCAACCTGGCACAAAGGAAAGAGTATTGGAACAACAGGACCTAAATTCCGTTCTATTACAGTCTACCTATGTCACTTTTGACAATTCATTGAGCCTCTCAGTCTTGTCATCCATAAAATGAGGGGTTTGAATGAGATAGCCTTGGGTCTCTGCAGCTCTAGTTCTAAGATAATGTGTTTCTATGATTTCTAAGGACCCTTTCAGCTCTCAGGTGATGGTCATCGTTACTAGCATTGCTCACCATTAATGTTATGGCCCATAGAATCTACAGAATGGGACCCAGAACATCGAATGTGTTATCCCTTTGTCAAGAGCCTGTGAAACTGGACAATACTCTCAGAACTGGACTGGCATTTCATACTTGTATTCCTTTCCCCCTCCTGCTGACATAGAAATGGATACAGACATGTTTTCACAGGCCAGATGTTAAGGGCATCATGTGATCACAAAGATTCACTCTCTGTGGCATCCAAACCAGAAATATGCTTTTCCACTTAAATGGTCAAATCTCTGGATTTTACACATTACAAAAGCATTATTTCCAGCTTTTCAGTCTTATTAACTGGTAGCACAGGGCTCAGATATATTTGTCAAATAAAAGTATAAAGATAGCTCATGTTTATATGTACTTCCAATGTGACAACTCATTGAGTTATGACCAGATATTATGATATATGACCTAATAAAAGTGGTCTGTCAAGGAATAAAACCCAAAGAACAACAGTTTTCTGTCAGCCATTTTCATCTTTTATCCAACCTTCATTTCCGTCTTTGCGCCAAAAAAAATTCTCCAAAAACCAGTGTTTTCAAGCAAAAGTCTCAGTTTTCCAATATTGTCTTTTCTTTAACAATTTCTGGGCAAAATGATTTGCCCAGAAAGAAAGAGGATTTGTTTGGAGACTGATGTAGTTAGTGAAAAGTTATGTCGATAACAATGTAAGTTAGTCAGCCAATGAGCATTTTTTAAACACTTACTATGTCCCAGCCACTATGCTAAGCATTATACATACAAAGAAAAGCATCATCACTGTCCCTGCCCTCAAGGAGCTCACAGTCTAAGGAAAGGCATGTATTACAAACATACAGAAGGCACAAATGCAGAAAGAAACAAACCAGATTGAATAGACATTTGATGTATGTGAAAATTCCTCTACAGATGAAACTCTTCCCTTCCCCCTTAAATATGATAAAATATTTCCACCCTTCAAAGGTCTGTGATCTTGTCAATGTGGGTACTTGACTCAATCAGTCAACTAGCATTTATCAAGATGCTACTATGTGCTAAGCACTGCGCTAAATTTGGGGGAAACCAAGACAGATAAAATAGACCATACCCTCAAGGAAAAGCTTAGGCTCTGTCCAGGAAGATATTTCATAACTGTGGCCCATATAAGCTCTAAGGATCTTTATCCCAATTCCCATTCTCTCAGACAAGTCTTGGGTTATGGAGCAAGGCTATATCTCTCCCTCTAAATCCTAGGGGTATTCCCTGAGGATTTGGGGATGATCCTCTAATATTATTGGCTTGGAGTCCCATGAATGTGCTTCTTCCAAGATTATTAGTCAAAAATCATTTTAGTGAACCAGACTTAAAGAGCTTTTAGAAAGGGGTATTGTACTAATGTGATATATAAGAAGATCCTTTGGGATCAAACATCCTCCTAAAAGCCTGTGATGCCCTTTCCCACAGGAAGTAGGAGTCCAAGGGAAAGTGAGCTGAAAAGCACAAGTGACAAAGTAATGACTCACAGCTCCTAGGTGCTAAATGTCCTTTTCTCCCATTCCCAGGGCACTCAAGATATGACCCTTAAGGTTGGTGTGATCTGCTTAACTTGCTTAGTCTTGTTAAGTGGTAAATATACATCCTGTCTGTCCTTGGCCTCTTGCAGACCTCACTGTCAGCTGATGCGGAGATATAGCTAGGACACTGATGGTAAGAGAACTCCAGCTTCCACTCAATTCCTTGAAGCTTTCAGGATCAACCTCCTTTAGGCGCAGTGGGGAAGACCTATGCCAAGACATTCAGAACTTGGTCAAGGCCAAGACTGAAACCAACGCCATTCCTAATCCCCTCCATGCAGTCTCCCTCGGGATTTCACTACAATAATCCCTCTGTCTCCTGGGTATCCACTCACTGGAGCTCCCTGATTCTGGCTAACTTGATTCTTTTGTTGGCCAATATGCCTAATAAATAACAACACAAAATCCTTAACTATCAAAAGAGATCACTAATAATAAGAGAAATGCACATGAAAATAACCCTGAGGTTTCACCTCATACCCAGCAAAATGGCGAAGATGATGACCGTGGGATTGGTCATTGTGAGGGACTGTGGAAAGACAGATACATTTAATGAATTGTTAGTGGGGTTGAGAATCAGTACAATCACTCTGGGAAGCAACTTGGAATTAATAATAATAGCCAACACTCTAAGGATAGCAAAGCACTTTACAAATATTATCTCATTTTATCCTCATGACAAGTATTATTATTCCCATTTTTCAGATGAGAAAACTGGGAGGAAGATAGCAGATTAAGTGACTTGCCCAAAGTCACAAAGATAGCAGATGTCTGAGGGTGGACTTCCTCACTCCAAGTCCAATGCTCCATATACTCTGCAATTTAGCTGCCTCTGTAAATTTTGACCTCGATATTCCTCTACTAGGCATATATCCCAAAGAAATCATTGACAAAAAAAGAAAGGCTCTATATCCACCAGATATTTATAGCAGCACTTTTTGTATTGGCAAAG